TTGTAGAAAAAGGACCGCTCGCTCCCTTTAACACTTCGTCTTTCACTTCCAAGAACTGCATTGCAGGAAGGAGGGAGCACAGTGCTCCCCAGCGAGGAGCGGGACCCACACTCCAGTGGTTCCCAGAGAACCGACCATAGCACCTTCTTGTTGCCGTCCTTCCCCTGTGCCTGTCCCTTTCTCCTTCTCCCCTTTCCTTTCTCATTCCCTTCCCTGGACAGGACACAATATGAGATTAGAATATTTATGGTGTTCTATAAAATACGAGGTTCTGCGACATGGTTTTAATTTAAAACTCATAGCTCTCGAACAAAATACAGCTCTCTTTAAAAAGCTATAATGAATTTCATTGTTTTTATTGCTATGCAGTCTTTCATTGATTTTTTTTTTCCTCCCTCCTAAAGTTTTTTTTTTTTCCCCTATTTTAAACCCAGGGAAGGAAAAATTTCCAAGGGTTATTAGTTCATTAGCTGTTAGAAGGAATAATTGATCTGTCAACTCAAAGGATTTATAAGGATTTGGCTCACAGAATTCATGAAAGCAGTAGCTTACGTTTAAGTTCTGCCTCAAAAGAAAACATTTCAGTAGGGGCTTCTCCTTACTTTTTGCAAGATAAAAATTAGCATCCCTCTAGTGATGAAAAGGCCCCCTATGTTTTAAGATCCTCCCAATCGGTAAGAGCTATAGCAGCAATATTTGCACCTACACCTGAAATAATTGGATACGTATGTATTTCACCCAAATGAATGGATTATAAATATTAGAGTTTTTGGTTTCTTCCACTGGTGGGTTCCCCCCCACCGCCCCAGTAAAAGGGATGGAACACAACATTTCTTCAACCTCAAATGAGGTTTTTGCTTTCTTTTTTTTTCTTTTTCTTTTTTTTTTTTTTTTTAAGCAAATGCACCCAAATTGGGTTTGGTTCACAAAGGAAAGACTGACTGCAAAGCTAACAGACCCATCATTAGGCACCCTGCCCTCTTAAATGGCCTGTCCATTCCACTGCTCACAATATAGGACTAAGGCCGTAAACAAGGGATCCAAGAGAACTCTGGACAAGAAACATACAATGGAGTGGGATAAATTTCTTTAGCATAAATAGCAGTCTCCAAGGGTGACTGGTGTGAATGGATTCCTGCTGCGAGGGTCTCTGTGCCTACAGAGGAGATCTGTGGCTTTAAGAGCTGTGGTCCCACCCCCTGGGCTGTGGAAGTGCTCAGTCTCCCCTGCTGGGCTTGGTCCACAGGCCCCCTGTGGGCCTCCTCTTTCCTTTCAAGCTGTGAGTCCTAAGGAACTCGGTGACAGCTCCCCTTTCATTCTGCTGTGCAAATCCTTGAGCTGTTCCTAGTGCTTTCAAAAGGAAAATATAAGACATTTTACTTATTCTGTCCAGCAGGAGCATGGAAGTCTGGTAAGACCCAGGGTTATTCCGGCAGTAAGCCTGGGGGAGATCTTCCTCTTTGTAATGACTTGTCGCAGAAATTCCCTGAGATGGCTGGTAACCCACACTTTATACTTCCTACATCCTTTACATCCTGCGCTGTGGGATGCCATCTGGGTACTGTTCCCCCCCTAAGACTTGTGTCCTGCTAGCCGGTGTCTGGAGAACCCAAGACAGAAACTATGCTAGTAGAAATAAGTATATCCTAATAGTACGTGTCAAAGGTTAATTTCATAGCGGCCATGAGCCAAAATGTGCAGGTTCCAAAGTAAATATTTACTTTTAAAAGAATTAAATAATGCATGGACACAGTTTAAAAAAAAAGAAATCAGCCAGTCCTCTGCCCCGGCCCTCCTCATGCCCTGTCCCAACCCAGAATCAATCACTCTGAATCCTCTTTGCTTTTTCTCCTTCTGGTGATTGCCTGCATATTATGGAATGATATATTTATACACACCATTTCTAATTTCTCAACTTTGGATATTACCTATTGATTTCTTGATCTGATATATAGGGTTTTACTCAGACTCTATAACCCTAATTCTTCTCTTTCCAATACCCCAGCTTTTATTCCTCTGTATATTATTATTGTAACTTTAAGTAATATACTTAAATCTCTACTTCCTGTTACCTTGATTGCAGACAGGACATTTGCCTCACCTTTCTGCTACTTGATTTCTCATCTCTCTACCCTTCACTTCTATCAGCTGTTGATAACGCTTCCCTTCCATTTTGACCACAATTAAGATTTCTGTACTGTGATTTTAGGTTGATTCCAATGTTAGAAGCTAATAAATAGCTTTCATGTTATTATATCAATATGAATATTATATACTGCAAAACCAAGACCTGCACTATGGTTGATTATATTTACTTCTCTATAATTCTAAATCATAATCCCTGTTGAAATCTGTTTTCTTCCATTCCATCACTGGTAAAAAAAAAAAAAAAATCAGAGTTTGTTTGTTTGTTTGTTTCTTGGCTTTTTTGGTTTTCTGATTTCTCCCCCCCTTTTCTTTTCTTTTTTTTTTTTTTAAAGATTTTATTTATTTATTTGACAGAGAGAGAGATAGCGAGAGCAGGAACACAAGCAGGGGGAGTGGGAGAAGGAGAAGCAGGCTTCCCGCCGAGCAGGGAGCCCGATGTGGGACTCGATCCCAGGACCCTGGGATCATGACCTGAGCCGAAGGCAGACGCTTAACGACTGAGCCACCCAGGCGCCCTCCCCCCCTTTTTCTTATTGGGAAAAGAAACATGTCTTTTCCACCCTACACCTGATATCTTCCAACTTCTAACTCACTCTGTTATTTTGAAACCATTCCATTCTTCTGGAAGCCCACCAACTTTCTGTTCTAATATGCTTGTTCTAAATTGCTTTCCACATATACCAACAAACAGAGTTTATACTGCCATATACATACCCTGGAGTTTCCAGTTGCCTTTCTTTTTTCCTTACTTTCTTTGCCTTTATTTTTCTCTTGAAGTTTTTTTGAACTGAATCCCTCTTTTTTTTCCAGGAAACCTAAATCCTCTAGCCCTCAGGCTTCCTTTTCCAATCTGGATAGTATTATGACTCTAAATATTGTTTACTGCTGAATCAAGTGGTATGCCACTGTTGTATTTTCTATCTTATATATTTTTTTTATTTTCCAGATGTTGATAATTCCCTTTTTTCTCTTGCTCAGTTTTCAGTGCATTTGGAGTTTTTCCCAATATATTAACATCTCTTTAGAACGCCTAACAATACTGATTTCCACATGGGAAAATTCCTCAAATAATCTCTCAAGGTTTTTATGTATTTATTTTGGTTTGTTTGTTGTTTACTTATTTGTTGGTTTGTTGGTACTCCTAGAGGTTTTCTAGAACCTTTTTGGTCCAATCTAAATTAGATTGTTTTTAGTTTATGTGGGGAAGGGGGAGGTTTTCACTGCTTATCATCCTGATGTTTCTGTTTGTTGTTAACCTGTGTGCTTATACCATTTCTCTGTTCTCATGTCTTCCTTTTTCTGAAAAATTTTAGCCTTCATTTTACTGAACAGTATCCTCAACTTTCTGCAAAAGGGCCCAAGAGTGGTATGCCTAATGAATTCTCATGTGTAAAGATGCTTTATTCCGTCCTCATGCTCAGTTGGTAGTTTGATAGGGTGTAGAATTCTAAATTGCAAATTCTTTTCCTTCAGAACTTTCTTTAATGTCTAGTAATATCCAGTGTTGCTGCTGAGAAGTTCACACCAATATGGTTCTAGTTCCTTTGTTTGCGACCTGTTCTTATTTATCTTTTCATTGTCCCATTGTTTGTTTTTTGCTCTGGAAGATTTTAGGATCTTTTATTGTTGCCGTTTTTGAAATGTCAAAACAATGTGTCTGATTGTGGGTCTTTTAATTTCTAAAACTCTTTCTTATTCTTGATCGTTCCTTTTTTTATTGGATTTTGTCCTTGTTTTTATGGGTGCAATATTTTTCCCAAATCTCTTCCAGAATACTAACTAGTTGTTTGTTTGTTTTTTGTCATGCTGTGGTTTGTTTTTAAATTCTTGTCTGTTATCAGAATTCTTTCTGTATCCTCTAGTGTCAGCTCTTTTATTTGTTTATCTGTGTTTTCTATGTCATACTATGGGCTTTGCTTAAATGCTTGATGAATCTTGGGGATGAGCTCATGTGTATGAATCTGGAAGTAGAGAAAGGCTGATGAGAAGCTCTGTATAAATAGATAGATCTTGTTGATTGATGGGCCTCATGCCCCGCTACCCCTCAATATGCCAAAAAGCAGAGGACTCTAAACTAGGACAAAAGCAACCACAGTAGCAGCTCTAGTTTGCAGGGTTTCTTTAGAGAAAATACTCCAGCTTTTAATGTAGACATAAACACTTGGCTGCCTGGTAAGTGGGGGAGGGTCCACAGAAAGATCTTCAGTGAGTCCTGTTTTTTGTTCAGCTTCCCACTGTCTTCCTTACTGTCTGTCTTACAGTCTGGAGCCTCTCAAGAGTTGTGTTGGCGGGTTGGCGCCCTCTTCAGTTACGGCTCTTCCCCATGTCTATGAAGCTTCCTCTTCACTTTTGGCCACCAGCCCCACCCTGTTGGTCTTCTGTCTTCAAGAAATTAGCGGGGGTCTCTCTTCACTGACGGTGCCTCACCAGATCTCCTCTCATTCTTGCAGGGCTACACTACTCTTTTATGCCTCTCATCCTCTTTGCCCTTAAACCATACTTTTTCCACAGTAAAGCTAACCTAATACCTGTTACTGCCGTTCATCTCCCCAAATATATATACAGCAGTTTTCGTAGACATCCTTAGTAAGACGAAGTTCAGGGCCCATCCACATGTCCCACATAACCTCGGGGACTTAGACGAGTCAACAAGTATTCTTTGTGTACTAAGTAGGTATTACAGGGACTAGAAAGATACAAATAATGTATTCCCAATCCCATAATCCAGTGGCAAGCCCATAGTATAGGTAGAACAAGGCCCAGAATTACAGGCATTTTAGAGATTTAGCGTTTTGGTTAGAATCAACCTGAGTACAGATTGGCTAAGTATCTGGTGATCTTTTTCCTCACAGAAATTGGAAATCATCACATGATGCGGTGAAGAGCATATGATGGATGTAACATATTCATTCTTCACTCATCGAAGAATTTTAGAGTGCAAGGGATTGTACTAGGAGCTGAGGAGAACTCGAAGTCTGTCCGATTAGTCACTCTGCCTCAAGAAGGAGAGGTGGCACGTACCTAAGTCTCAAATACAAGGCAAAATGAGATCAGTGGTGTATGAGGACTATAAGTAAAATGTTATGGGTATTCCGAGTAAAGGGAGAGATTACTTCCTGCCAGTTTACGTGTGGTGTAAGGGAAATGAAAACAGGCCAACTGAAGAATGGCTCACTGAAAGACAGAGGATTTGGATCAATGGGGATGAAGGTGAGGAATTAACTCAGGTGAGTCCAGGGTTCAAAGAGAAATTCGTCTTGACTGGAGCCAGAATTTCAAAGGTGCTCATAACATGTCATCATGAAAGTAATGCCCTTTTCCTAGAACATTGCTTCTAGCACTGGCTTATTAATTAAAGCATAGATTTCCTCCAATAGACCTTGTTCAATTGAGGGTCTTTGTTCTCCCCTGACGTTAATATCTCAGAACCACAGAAATACAGCCCCCCCGCCCCATCCCTGCCAGCACTCTGTTCTCCTGTTAGCCCAGCCAAGGAAGTCCATGCCATGTGGTGCCAGCATTCCTATCCATCTCCTCGCTGCCACTGCTGGGGGGTAGTTTGGGTCAGCTTCCTGACCTGCTGCTTCAGCCCCCTCCCACCGCCCCTCCCTGAATCACACAGGTTGGAAAGTTAAAAGCTCCTTGGCACGACGTTCCACGTGTGGCCCGGTTTCTACCCTAGAAGACGCGGAGATAGGAGAGACCGGTGCGAGGTGTTAGTGACGCCCAGGGAGATCAGATCTCCCGATGGGCACGGGGATGGAGTGTGTTCGGCTCTTTCAGGGAGCTCCGCGAAGATTCTAGCATCTAGCGCCTCTCGTCCCACGAGACTTACGGCAGGCAGCTGCAGCAGTGGTGTGGAACTGTCCTCCTGTATGGCTGGCTCTTTGGTCCTGGTCATTGTATATCCTCCTTATCTGGTTTTCTGGTCGTCCTGAAGGTTCCATAAGCTCCAATACCCCTTTTTTTCTTTTTCTTTTTCTTTTCTTTTCTTTCCTTTTTTTTCTTTTCTTTCCTTTTTTTCCCCTTCCTTCCTTCCTTCCTTCCTTCCTTCCTTCCTTCCTTTTTCTAAACCAGCTAGAGTGGATGTGGTCTCAACAGCTAAAAACCCCTGCTGGTATCATTTGGTTGGACTTTCCAGTCACCCACCCATGTTCCTTGAGGTTTCTGGCTCTCGATTCACCATTATCTCTCTCCCCCCATTTTCCTGCCATCATGCTAACGGGCGGAGGAGTCTGCGTGATGGTCTCTGCCACACTGTGGTCTCATCGCCTCTCCCTCTCCACGGCTACAGCTGGAACTGTGTCACCTGTAAGAGTTCCCCTCTCTGGCCCAGCCTCCTGTCACTCCACTGTCTCCCCGCGGACCTGCGCTCTAACCTCAGAGCATCCTTCAGTGTCCTTCCCTGCTGTCGTAACACGTCAGTCCAGCTCTCTTCCCCGGTGAGCTGCAGCCCACCGCAGCCCACCAGACTCACTCACAGTTTACTGCCTCTTACGATAACCCCTAAAATGCTCCGTGCTGGTCTAGATGTATAGATACCCTCGCCCCATATTTTGCACTGAGAATATAACATTAGCTAATGCTTATAAGGTGCTTATCGTATACCAGGCACTGTTCCGAGCACATTCATATATTAAGTCATTGAATCCTCACAGCAATTCATTGAGATAGGGACATTTAATGTCTACATTTTACAGATGAAGAGACAGAAGAACAGAAAGGTTAAGTGATTTGCCCAAGGCGACACAGCTAGTAAGTCCTTGAGCTGGGATTCAAGCTGTCATGTTCTTAGTAGCTGTTCTCTATTTGCATTCCCTTCGCCTGTTTTAAGGGATGCCAAGATATCTGTGTATCTTTACATGGATATGAAAAGCACTTTTTCCTCTTTAACCATATATGTGATTACTGTCCTACTGTCAGCATCACACATTGTAGTTTCTAAAAGCAGAATTCCATTCATATATCCACCAGGTTTTTCTTTTTTTAATGAAGTGTTTTTTCTTTCTCTCTCCCATATTATTTCCTTGCTGTGCATTCTGATTTGAATCTCAATTCTGCCGTGAAAGATAGGGTCACACTATTGCAGATAAATGTTTCAGGCAGCTGTTGACTAGCGAGGGTGATGGATTTTCTATACTACCCTCCTCTTTCGAAATATCCCTTGTGTTACATCCGGAAATGCGTCCTCTGATAAATGAAATATAGCAGTTTGGGATATATCAGCTGGTATTTTTTTCTCTGATGTCTTCCAGGATAGGTCTTGTGCAGTATTTACACTTTGGGTTTCAAAACCCGACTGTAGGTATGAATCCCGGCTCAAGCATTGAGACTTTGGGCAAGTTATGTAACCTGTAAACGTCAGGTACTTCATCTGGATGATTGGGGGTAGCCTACTATAAATTGAGTGTGAACAGATCACCATGGACCACCCCCCCCCCCCCGTGCCCCAGCCTTCTCCCCACAAGGTTAATCCCAGCACATCCTATCACACTCCCCTCCCCAAACAAGCACGTACCCATTGCATATGGACAGAAACAGCCTAGAGAAATTTGATAAATTGCATTTTACTGAAGGTTTCACATGGAGACAGAGGATCAGGTTGTATTGTGCCCCACTAAGCACATCTTCCCTTTAAAAAAAAGAAGAGTCCCTGCTTTGTCATCTGCTTCTCTTTCCCCAGCAGCCCCCTTCAGCCTCCTTCCTCCTCACCCTCCTGGCCCGCCCACCCTGGCTCAGGCCACACCTGCCCCTTCCGTCGGTTAAGCATCTGCCTTCGGCTCAGGTCATGATCCCAGGGTCCTGGGATCGAGCCCCGCGTCAGGCTCCCTGCTCAGGGGGAAGCCTGCTTCTCCCTCTCCCACTCCCCCTGCTTGTGCTCACTCTCTCGTTGTGTCTCTCTCTCTCAAATAAGTAAAATCTTAAAAAAAAAAAAAAGGAGTAGCTCTCTCTTACAAATTATGTTCCTCTAAGCTTGACAGAGAGCCGACAATTCTTTAAGTGTTGCCCAGAGTAAGGGGGGGGCACGCCGCCCTGTTTCGGGGGCCTCCGGCGCTGCCTTGCTTCTCAGGGGGAAATGTCATGCTTGTTTATACCGGCCGCTCACAGTTCAGCCACTGCAGCAGGAAGTCAGCATTGATACCAACAGCTTCCACCCCTGACATCGTCTTACTTAGAGTTTGGTTATCAGAGCTCCCTGGCTGGTTTATTTGTTTGTAGGTTTTCCCCTTTTGCTGGAAAATCATGGTACATTTTCTGTCTCCAGCCCCTGGTTACATTTAAGTTACTTTAAGCTAGTCATCGCCTTCACCAATAGTTGCCAATTTGACTACTGATTTTTGCGCCCTATAAGGAAGTACTTACTACAGAGAAGATAGAGTGTGACCGTGGCCTTGACCATGGCCATTAATCGAATTCGAAATGGTTTCTACTGATGTGGAGTTTATGAAGTTAATACAAAGAGGTCAGTAAGACCATATTTTCCCAGAGTAATCATTTTATTGGCTATAGTGTTTGTGCTTTTATCTTAGAAATTTTTAAGTATCTTACAAGTCTGGGGCATCTCAGTCGGTTGAGCATCAGACTCTTGATTTCGGCTCAGGTTATGATCTCAGGGTCGTGAGATCGAGCCCCCGAGTGGGGCTCCGTGCTCAGCTCAGAGTCTGCTTGGGTTTCTCTCTCCCTTGCCCTTTGCCCTTCCCCCTGCTCGCTCGCTCTCTCCCTATAAAATAAATAAATAAATCTTTAAAAAAAATGTATCTTACAAGTCTGATAACTTCTCCCCTTTCCTTTAATTCACTTTGTCTGTGGTGAATCTCACCCGTAAAACTAAAGAACTCACTGTTTGAAAAGTTAGATGGAAACTCAGCGGAATGGGAGTATTTATTGCTTCCAAAGAAGGTTCTTCATTGTAGATTATCCAGGAGCCAGTAATGAATGTGTACTCTCAGGGGCCAGGGATTTCGGGGGATGAATTTCCCAGGGTTTAATCATCTCGTAAGGCCTCTGAGTGTGACTTTTTCCCAATAATCTACTTATCTCAGTAATTTACCCCTCCTACTGCATTGCAAGGAAAATGAGTCCCCCAGGTTGTTTGCATGATAAGTAGCTGGGAATTGTGTGAGCCTTTCAAGAAACAGCCCTGAGTTAATTGTAGCAGCCTGAGCTAATGGTTTCCCATGTTGGCTGGCAGGTTACAGGGAAGAAGGGGCTTGAAAACACCCTTTATCACAAGTACCATGCATTTGAAAAGCTGAAATCTTACAAATGTTTGCTTCCTGGAAGATATTTTCCCTTGCACTATAAATGGGTGAGAAAAATGTCCCTCCAGAGATAGGACTGGCCGCTTTGCAGATGGCTCTGGATGTTGGCTACTTGGAGGAGTTCAGGGAGGTTTTTGTTTTTGTTTTTGCCAATGGCTCACACTAATTTGCCCCCACCCCCTCTTTTTTTTTTTTTTAAGTCAGCACTAAAGAATAAGCTGCTCCCTGCAAGCCAACAACCAGAAATACTACTTTAGGAAAAGTAAGATATGTTTCCTAAAATTTCCTGATTGTATTTTTTTTTTTTTTTTTTAGCCTCATATCACATTTATCCTGGAGTTTGTTAATACGATAATGCATCAAACTAACAAGTTCAAAATGGGTTTTCTACTGTGGAGGAAGGTCACTGAAATACCATTCACTTTGGGGGGAGGGACCTAGAACATTCTGCGCTGTGCCCGTGGAGGACAGAGGAAGGTTGCATGAGATCTTACCTAGACAGGAAGGCATGGGAACGTGCTGGGAGCAGATCCCGGTTGGGGCAGAACAAAGATGCTCTCTTTCCCACATTACGTAGCCACCAGGCAAAACTCAGCAAGTTTATAGGGAGGGGAGCAAGTTCCTGCTGGAAAGAAGGCTGTGTATGAAGGAAGCAGCAGAAGCACCTGCTTTGCTTGCTCCATTTACCCTCCCTGCTTGACCAGTGCCCTCCCGTCCTTCCAATCGATCAGTCGATTGATCAATTGCAGCTCAAACATCGCTTTCTCCAGGAAGCCCTTTCTGATCCCCATCCCAGAGAGTCCTGGGCTCTCTCACTGCATAATTTCATAGCGTTTTCATAGTTATAATTCCACATTTTTTGGTATGATCAAATTATTTCTCTCTCTCCCCACAAAATTGGACCTTCCATGAGTACGTAAGGATCTTGTCTGTTTTTTATGCCATTAGAATCTCAGTAACTCATTTCTCAGAAAGTATCTGCCGATAGATGGGTGGATGGATGAGAGTACAATCGTTGAAAGTATTTCTGGTGGAGGACATCAGGGTGAGGTCCTGGGTTAACTGATGGCTGCACAGAAAGAATTTCAAGGCTTGTCAAAAGCAAGAGAGAAAGAGGAAGAAAATAATCGTGAGCCTGGAAAGTGTAGAGATAGATACATGGGAGCAGAAGTGTGTGTGTGTGTGTGTGTGTGTGTGTGTGTGTGTGTGTGTGATATTCCATGAATATGCTGGCCCTGGGATACAAAGATGAGAAAAGAATGAGTTTTGAGTGTTTTTTCCAAGAAGCAGGTGACTGAATAGATGGGCCAGGTTTCCAGCCTACAGTGGATGGCGGACTGAGTTGGGCAGTTTACAGAGGTGTAGGCAGGGATGGGGAAGCCAGAAGACAGACCAGTCGCTAGGAACCCACAGTCATTGGACACTATTACCCACACCCACCTACCACCCCACCCCGAAGGAGCAAGGTGGGGCAGCTTAGCAAGAGCTCCAGCCCTAGAAGGGGACAGCAGACCAGAAGGGTCACTGCTAGAGGGTTGTGCTAAAGCAAGGGGAGAACCAGAGAAGAAATCCACCAGCCTCTCTCTCTCTCCTGACCTCTCCCAGCTAAACCCAATGGGAATCCCAAGGCAGGGGAGCCCCAGTGATGCAGTATGTGGAGATCAGCCCCCCTGCCCTGCAAACCGTAGTATAGTAGAGTGACATTGACTAGTTAGGACGGTGACAGATGGTCAGTGTCTTTAAATACCTGCAATCTTACTTCTTAACTTTTCTACTTATTTTTTATTTTGAGTATGTATTTTAACTGCCAATATAGCCAACAGTGTATACCCTGAGAAATTTGGCCCCTCTCTCCTCTCTTCTCCTCTCCCCCGTTCCACATATAGATAACTACTTTCATCTGCTTCTCATGTCTCCTCCTAGATACAGGGGCATGTGTGTGCGTGTCTTATCACGTCCCTGTATATTTATATACCTCATATCCCTGTCTCCCCATAGGAAAGATAGTGTATTACATACACACACACTCTTCTGCATCTAGCCCATTATTTTATATATACACGTAAGTATATCCGTGGGAGAAATTCCCAGGGGTGGACATGCTGATAAATTTTCCCGAATTGCCCTCTGTAGGACGGCACGGTTTGGTACCTCCAAGCAATACCGTAGGAGAGCATTTCCCCACAGCCTTGCTGAAAGAGTGTGTCGCTCAGCTTTTGGAATTTTGCCCATCTGAGAGTGAAAACTATCATTTCATCATATTAGGTGAAACCACATGAAGTTGTAATTTATGTGGGCTAGAAATGGTAGGCCATTACTACTTTCATATGGTTCAGCCTAAGAGCTTTATTTTGTATTTTTTCTCACGAGTGAAACAAAATACCTTTTGATAGATCTCAGCTACCATTTGTATTCCTTTTTTGTTCTGAACATGCTATTGACCTTGGTGCATTTTTCTATTGCTGGCCTTTTTCTTATCAATTATAAGGAACCCTTTAAACATCCAGGAGAAGAATCTCTTGCAATAGTGAGTTTCAATTTTTTTTCCCGAATTTGTTTGTCTAACTTTGCTTATGATAACTTTTGCCTCCAGAAGTCTCTGATTTTTATGTAATTGTAATGATCAGTCTTTTCCTTTATGACACGCAGATTTTTAAGTCATGCTAAGTTTGCCTCTATGCCAAAGACGTAAAGGAATTCTTCTGTGGATTTTTTTCCCCTAGAACTTTAATGGTTTTGTTTGTCACATTTAAATTTTGGATCCGTTAGGAGTTTCTCCTGGTTTGAGGTAGAGACACAACTTTTTCTCTTTCCAGATGGCTACTTGGTTGTTCCAACACCATTGGTTCAATAATTCCATCCTTAGCCCTACTGATTACAGATGTCACCATGATCATGTACTAATTGACAAGATCAATTTTAAGTCCTGGCAAGGTATTCTAAATTAGGTGACATTCCTTAAAATATCTTTTTACATGTGAAATTGGTACAGGTTTGAAAAAATGAATACATGTTTGCTGAACAAAATATAGACAAACAAAACTTGGACAAAGAAGTGATCCTAATTCTACTATTTCCCACTGTTAATATGTTTTGTGTATGTAATAGCCACACGCACATACATCAGGTAAAGAATAATCTATAACAGGGGCGCCTGGGTGGCTCAGTTGGTTAAGCAGCTGCCTTCGGCTCAGGTCATGATCCTGGAGTCCCGGGATCGAGCCCCGCATCGGGCTCCCTGCTCGGCGGGGGTCTGCTTCTCCCTCTGACCCTCCTCCCTCTCATGCTCTCTGTCTCTCATTCTCTCTCTCTCAAATAAATAAATAAAATCTTTAAAAAAAAAAAAAGAATCTATAACAGCTATGTCCGTACAATATAGTGGCTTATGCAACATAGAACGGTATTTCTTTTTTTTTTTTTTGCTCCTCGGGGTGTGGCAGTACTTGGCCTTTCCATCCAATCTTCTAGAACTTTTCCTTCCATCTCTGCTCGTAAATTGGCCAACTCTTGCTTGAGCTCATCTCCTTCCTGTAGTGGCTTGCCAAAAGTTAACAAATTATGTATAAATATTTATCTCCTTACTACCTGTGTGTTATCCCTAAATATATTTCATTATATTATTATAGTTCTTTTAATAGGAAACTGTTAAGTAATCTCCTACCACCTAATTTTCAGGATTACGTTGGGCAGGTGTGAATGAATTCCTTAAGAAGCAGACCTGTGAAATCAAGCATGTAACGAAATGTCATGAGCCCCATAAAAGGCAGCATTACCTGCCACACCGCTGTGTGGCTGCACCAGAAACTTGGGTGGACACAGATGGTGTCCAGCATTTACCAAGTCTTCTTGATGAGAGATGCTATTATACTGGTTCAGATGAGCTATCACAACACAGAGGATGTAAATGTCATCACTGTCCGCCAGAAAGGTCTAATTGAAAGCTTTTAAAGGAGGATGACCATTCTGTGCATGTGGAAGCATATACATAGTAGACTTACTTGTAAATATCAAAGCTGTCCATCCAAAGAGGCTAATTAAATAGATAAATGTGGGGTGCCTGGGTGGCTCAGTCATTAAGCATCTGCCTTTGGCTCGGGTCATGGTCCCGGGGTCCTGGGATCGAGCCCCGCATTGGGCTCCCTGCTCCGCGGGAAGCCTGCTTCTCCCTCTCCCGCTCCTCCTGCTTGCGTTCCCTCTCTCGCTGTGTCTCTCTCTGCCAAATAAATAAATAAAATCTTAAAAAAAAAAATAAATAGATAGATAAATGTATGCCCAGTCCAACAGCAAAAAAGAAAAAATCCAAAGCACCTCTCTTTCCCAAAATGCTCTGGTGGTGGGCAATTTTATAGGCAAATTCTTTTAAACTTCCCAGGAAAAATAATTCCTGTGTTATATAAACTGTGGCAGAATTCAGAAAAGAAGGAAGACTTCTCGTTTCACTGTGTGAAGTTGGAATGACTCTGATGTCAAAACCCAGCAAAGATGACGTATATGCTGAATGTCAAAACTAAAAAGGCATTTAATAAAACTCAGTGTCTGTTCTCAGTTTGAAATTTAAAAAAAGCACACAGCAAACAAAATGAAAAGGCAGCCTACTGAATGGGGAAAAATAATTGCAAACCATGTATCTGATAAGGGGCTGATATTTTAGGACTCTAACTCAATAGCAAAAAACCAAACAATTCAATTAAAAATCGGTGGAAGATCTGAATAGACATTTTTCCAGAGAAGACATCCAGATGGTCAACAGGCACATGAGAAGATGCTCAGCATCACTCATCATCAGGGAAATGCAGATCAAAACCCCAATGAGATGCCACCTCACACCTGTTAGATGGGCTGATATCAAAAAGACAAGAGACAAGTGTTGGCGAGGAGGTGGAGAAAGGGAACCCTGGTCCTCTGTCGGTAGGAATGTAAATTGCTGCAGCCATTATTGAAAATAGTATGGAGGTTCCTCAAAAAACTAAAAAATGAACTACCATAGGATCCAACAGTTCCATTTCTGGGTATATTTCTGAATAAAATGAAAACACTAATTCAAAAGGATATGTGCACCCCCATGTTCATTGCAGCATTATTTACAATAGCCAAGACATGGAAACAATGTAAGTGGCTCAATAAATGAATGTATAAAGATGTATGTAGAGAGTGTGTGTGGGGGGGAAGAGGTGCCACATACACCCCCACGCAAATGGAATAGTATTCAGCCATGGAAAAAAAAAGGGATGAAAACTTGCCATTTGTGGCAATGTGGATGGACCTGGAGGGTGTTACGCTAAGTGAAATAAATCAGCCAGAAAAAGACAGATACCATATGATCTGTCTTGTGTGGATTCTTAAACAAAACAAAAACCCAAGCTCATCAATACAGAAAACAGATTGGTGGTTGTAAGAACTGGAGGCTGAGAGAAATGGGTGAGCTGTTTTTGTTTTTTTCTTTTTTAAGTTTAAATAAATTAAATAAAATGTAAAAACTAAGAAACACTCTTGAAAGCAATGAAAAAAATAATTCACTCGAGATATATTTCTTATTCATGACCAAGAGGCACAATATTATTAAGATACCAGTTCTTAAATTGATTTGAAGTTCGGTGCCATCCCCATAGAAATCTCAGCAAGCTGTTTTGTAAACAGCAACAAACTTGTGTTAGACACTGAGTAGCGTCGGGGGTTACTGCTGAAGGACAAGTCAATGAACTCACACTTGCCCGTTTCAAGATTTATTATAAAGCTACAATAATTAAGAGAGCATGATGTTTTGAAACGAATGGACACGTAGATAAATGGAACAGAACAGAGAGTCCGTGGACAGACTTACACAGATACAGTCAACTTGACCTGGGTCAAAGGAATAAAGGCACATCAATGCAGAAGAGATTGTTTAGTTTTTAGTCTTTAGTCATCATCAGCAAATGAGGGTACAAATGGACAACCACAGGAATTTTTTACACAAACTTTGCACCTTAGGCATAAATTCACTCAAAAGTATTCATTGCCTTAAATATAAAATGCAAAAATATAAAAATTATAGTGGGGGACTTAGGAGAAAATCTACATGGGTTAAAGTTTTGTGATTAATTTTCATATATGACACAGAAAGCATGGTCTGTGAAAAGAAATGATAATGTGAACTTATTTACACTGTCCGCTCTGTGAAAGACTGCATTCAAAGAATGGAAATACAGGCTGCTGGCTAGGAGACTATGTCTTCAAAACACTTACCTGAAGAAAGATTTGCATGAAAAGTATTCAAAGAACTAGAACGCCACAGTAAGAAACCAGACTTCCCAAATTAAAATAAATAGGGCAAGACAAGTAGACACCTAACCAAATAATATATATAAATGGGGGAAAAAAACCATGTCTAATTTGCTCAACATTGGGGAATTATTGGAAAACAGTATATATTGTGCACTAGGGAAAAGCAAATTAAAAAAATAAAAATTTAAAAATAACTCTTCAAACTGGGAATTAAAGAGTACTTCATTATCATACCCAGTAATAACTATCACAGACTAAATGCTACCATTTTGCTTGATGGTAAAAAAATTACAAGATCAGATCAGGGACAAATAAGAATGTCCTCTTTCACTGCTGATGCACATCATTCGTCTCTACAATGTGCAAATAATTAAGGCGGAATTAAACTTACCATGTTTGTAAACATTTGTAAGAATCTACCTCGGAAATTCAAGAGAATCAACTAAAAACCAAAAAGAAAGCCAAGTCCTTTGCCAGTTATAAGATAAATATACAAAAAGTGGTTCTCACAAATACCCATAATCAGTTAGATAATGTCACAGAGAACAGAGAGGGCACATTAACAGTAGCTCCAGGGACACCTGGGTGGCTCAGTGGGTTGGGCGTCCAACTCTTGATCTCGGCTCAGGTCTTGATCTCAGGGTCATGAGTTCAAGCCCACTTAAAACAAAACAAAACAAAAACCCAAAACCAAAAAACAAACCAGTAGCTACAAAAACTCAACAAGAAATAGGGGACCTTGAAAAAAACAGAAACCCTACTCAGGTTCAAGACCCAACTGTAGGAACGCCTGGGTGGCTCAGTCGGTTAAGCGGCTGCCTTCGGCTCAGGTCATGATCCTGGGGTCCTGGAATCGAGCCCCACGTCCGGCTCCCTGCTCAGAGGAGAGCCTGCTTCTCCTTCTCCCTCTGCCTGCCACTCTGCCTGCTTGTGCTCTCTATCTCTCTGTCAAATAAATAAATCAAATCTTTAAAAAAAAAAAAAAAAGGACCCAACTGTAGCTGAAGCAAAAACAAAGGAGGGGCGCTCCCCCGAGCTGGAAGTGGGAGAAGGTCACACCCAGAGGAACTGCAGGTCACAACTAGAGGAACTGAAGCCTTAGGGAGCAGAACAGGATTCTCAGAGCCCCAGGACTGTTTGTGCTAGGACCGTAGGGCTCAGTTGTTGGGAGTACGCACAGCTCCAAACCCACGGGCTTGCCAGTTAGCACCATAGTCATCACAGATTTATATGTTTTGGGCAACGGGTTTAGGACATGCAAGAAGTACTTGTTTCTGATGCACACAGAGGCACCATGGGGGTTAGTGGTGGGGCTGTGTACCGTTCCTCCTTTATCATCTCTGCGTTGGCTTCCCCCTTTCCTGCCACAGACTGGCTTTCTCATGGTGGAGAGCACAGCGCCTGGCAGCCCCACGTTCAAGTACTTCTTACTCTGTGGAAGGGTTCCTTCCTTAACAACAATCAGGAGAGTCGTGGGAAAGGTTTCTTTGGGTCCTGGCTGGGGTCTTGCATCTGTCTGTGAAACATGAGTGCCTGTGTTTGGCTTCAGCCTCCGGTCAAGGGTGCAGGCAAGCTATTTTATCAGGAGGGTATGCGGGTTGTTTGGGGTGTTAGTTGGTAGAAAAATTATAGCTACCGACAGAAGATTTGAATAAATGTAGGGATCTGCCATTTAAAGTGTAGAGATGTACATTTCTCCCCAAGTTACTTTATAAATTTCACAGTCTGATTCAGAATTCCAGAGGGAGTTTGGGGGCTCCTGGACATCACGATTCTAAAGTTTATCTGCAATAGCAGACATACGTAGTGAGATTAGCTAGGAAAATTCCGCCCAGTGTCAGGGAGCCAGGTTAATTTGTGTATTTTTCATCTCGGTCTTATTTTATCATCTGTCCTAGGCTTAAAATACGATCCAGTGTTGACACCTAATTTTTTTTTTTTTAAAGATTTTATTTATTTATTTGACAGAGAGAGAGACAGCGAGAGCAGGAACACAAGCAGGGGGAGTGGGAGAGGGAAAGCAGGCTTCCCGTCGAGCAGGGAGCCCGATGTGGGACTCGATCCCAGGACCCCGGGATAATGACCTGAGCCAAAGGCAGACGCTCAACGACTGAGCCACCCAGGCGCCCCTGACACCTAATTTTTAAAGCTTTTCTCCCAGGACAGTTTTTATGTAAGCCAGGGAACTAGGAGTTAGGTATTCAGAGATCTAACATCTCATACTCTAATGTCACTCAAATTATTTTGAATGCTGGCTCTCCACAAGGTGTTGTGGGGTTTCATTAGATAGAAGGCATATTCCCTCCCCACCTAGTACTACACTCAGCTTTTCCAAACAAAGATGGGTATTAGACATTGTCAGTTTGTTGTCATTCCATATGATTCAGGGAATCAGTTTGCGAATATGAAAGGAACCGGAAGAAGGTACAAATGATCTGATCTGAAACTACAAGTATACAAAAGAAATTGGGGGTTAGTTAGTTACTGCACATCATTGGGGGTGGTATGGATGACATGGGTTTTAAATGTAAGGATCTCTATATAATAGTAGTAAAAGCCTAAAGTTGTACAGAATTTTCAAAGATGCCAGAGATGGCTTAAAAGAGAGCACATGCTGGCCACCTTGCCAATGGAGGAATAAAGAGATGGAAAGGAGGGGCGCCTGGGTGGCTCAGTCGGTGAAGCATCTGCCTTCAGCTCAGGTCATGATCTCAGGGTCCTGGGATCCAGCCCCACGTCGGGCTCCCTGCTGGGTGGGGAATCTGCTTCTCCCTCTCCATCTGCCCTTACCCCCTAACTCGTGCTCGCTCGCTCCCTCTCTTTCTCTAAAATAAATAAAATCTAAAAAAAAAAAAAAAAAAAGGACAGAGAGGAAATGTCAGTTTAAAAAAAAGTGGTTACATGGGAAGTAAATGCAGGTCAGAAAAAGTGACGTTCGTGATTTTGTTTTGTGTTTGTAAATGGCACTCTTCTTGGGAAAGTAAACCCACGCCTGAAAAGGAAAGCAAATGTGTAATGCCCACGTGGTAATGCCTTCGTCGGTATGTGTCATGTCCAATTTCTTTGGCTTTGGAAACGATGGGGGAATATTCAACCCTGGAAATTTGTAAAAAAAAAAAAAAAAAAAAGGCAAGATAAATGTTTGTCTTCTGTGATTTACGTTCATACCGAGCTTGAGTTCCAAGATCTCAGCTAGATAACCACTTACAGCCCTCTTCATCTCCAAGTGTCGGGAAAGTTGGTTGATTAAGGCAAGCCCAGACTGAAAGTAAGGGAGTTTACATGGCCTTCACAGGGACAAAGGACTTGAAAGCATGACCTTTAAAAAGAGAAGTAGCCCAGCTCCTCTGACTGGAGGCCAGAAGTAGCCTGATCACATTAAACAGTATAAGAACGAAGACAGAAACAGGCCGTCCCCTCCTCCTTTCACAGCTCCAAATCAGTTCCTCAGTTTGCCTTGTAAGCGATGTGCAGATATGTATGGTAAGGCCCAGCGTGCTGTGCGCGGCATATGTTTAGAATTAATCATGTAACCACATTTGCCCCAGCTGCAAAGCTAGAGTTCACAGAAGTGTGGAAACAATGTTGAGATACGCATCTAGAAGCAAAGGTCATGCAGCTTGTGCCAAGACATATGTCAGGGGGAACTCGTGGTGGTGGCCAGTGCCATCTGAAGTCCAAGAGCATATGTGAACCGACACAGCCCTCAGACCATGAACCCCCAAGGCCAAAGGGAAATGACCTTCCACGGATGGGGATGCCAACGAAAGTGAGAGAGCTCACAAAATGCCGACAAGAGAAAAACCAGGTGGGAAGGTTAGCCCATCTGGCTAATTGGTCGCAGACTGTAAATTCCCCTCCAGCCACATCTGCCCTTGCTCCTTAGGAGAACCTGGATCTTCTGAGGACTTGCAGAGGAATGTTTGCAAGGATGGGTGCCACTCAGGCTGGGGGGTTGGTTTTTAAAGTTGAACGACAGAAATAGATCGGCTGATGGAGCGTTAGTGAGAGAGGCAAGAGACGAGGCAAGAACGGGACAGGGTGAGGAGGAGGGTGGGGAGCCACTCAGGAAATCCTGGACTATTTGCTCCTTCGGCCTTTCAGTTGCCAGATTCTGTCCCGGGCCTGTGGGTCCCAGGGCCGGACCGGGGCCAAGGTGCAGGGGTCAGGACGTTCCGCTCCCGCTCTGCCAGCTCACACGCTCCTACACGTACTCGCATGCACTGTTCTTCTGTCATTGCGTGTGTCCACTGTCCACCCTCTTCTGCTCAAGAGCACAGGAATCCCAAGTGCATTCACGCTCACATACCGGGGACAGAAAGTGTCGTCCCAGCCAGCCATCTTGCCATTTCAGATGGGAATAGAGTAAGGGAATGACAGATTCATAAACAGAATTCCGCACCCCCCCCCGCCTTGGTAGAATTTCGGGCACCCTAAACCTGAAATCCAGGGAGGGAAGACATTTGGGAGCAGAGAGGACTTCTTTCTACTCTTCAGGTTATCCCCAGTCAGGTGACCATTCGATCTGGCCTTGTTCGGTACATGGAGGTTGTCTGGTTTATAGGCATGCTGCTTAAAATACACCGGAGTCCCCAACTGTCCATCTTCTGATTGTGTCCCCAACAAACATTACCCAGTACCTGCTGTTGCCCAGCCCCAGAGCCCTTACTTGCTTGTTTGAGAAGTCACGCATCCTGAAATTGAGAGGTTTTCTCTCTCCCTCCCTCTCTCTCTCTCTTTCTCTCTCATGTGCTGACCAAAGAAACTTCCAGATCTGTTGCCTCCGTTAGCTCTGTTTATAAATCTGAACTTAGTTGGCATTTTAGGTAGATGAAGAGTCCCTCCATTAAACCAGCGTGGCGGGAAGGATGGCCGAAAGGGGATCCTAATGCTCAGCTCTAATGGTGAGTTGCTAGATTTGCAGGTGTATTGGGAGCAGGATTCATTGTTTCTCTTCCTTGAGTCTGGGGAATAGCACCAAGCTATATAAAAAATGATGCAGGGTTCGAACATCTATGAATCAAGTTTAGAACTGCAGTTACATGCGGCAGAGGTCATTGTAGGAGAAGTAACAGGCTCCCTGCACACCGGGCACCAGCCTGAGGGCTCCGTACGCATTACACCATCTGACCTTCACATCTGCCCTCCGCAACAGGTACGTTCATTATCTCTGTTTACAAGATACGGCAACTAGAGAATTCCTTGAGCTCTTCCCCGAGCAACTTGTGTCCTTTGCTGTGTGTGTGTGTGTTACACTTCGGCAAAATTTATGTTTAAAAAAAAAAAAGAGGAGGCCAGTGAAGCCCAGAGAAGTTAAGTGACTTGCCCAAAGTCCCCTAACTGGCACCAGAAGCAGGATTCAGCCACTATATTTGTCCCCCTTTAGAGCCCACTTAACTTCTCCTCTGTGCTGCTAACCCTTCCCATTTAATTATACATTATCGTCACTCCACACGTACATAGTTCATACAAATGAGCAGTATTTGTATTCTCTTACGCTGCCAATCCTTCATCTTGTCATTTCTTCATCATCTAGAAATGTCCTTGTGTTTTTAGCTTTCTCTCTTTGTGATTTACTTCTTTGTTCCCCCACCCCCAAACTATTTACTTTTTTTTAGGATTTTATTTGACAGACAGCACAAGCAGGGGGAACGGCAGGCAGAGGGAGAGGGAGAAGCAGACTCCCTGCTGAGCAGGGAGCCCGATGCGGGGTTCGATCCCAGGACCCCAGGATCATGACCTGAGCCAAAGGCCGATGCTTAACCAACTGAGCCACCCAGGCGCCCCCCAAACTATTTACTTCTTGGTTGTCGAGTAAATGAGTGAACAAGTCTTGTCGTAACATTTACGCTAACGCACGTTTTTAAGACAGTGTCCTAGACTCATTCATTTCTTTGTTTATTCCATGAAGTTATTAGATGCTCGCTACACGCCGGGACTAGGAATATAAAGTTGAATAAGACGGTGTCTTCTTTCAAGAGGTTTGGCGTCTAGTAGGAGCAGACGGACTTTTCTTTAAAAAATAGGGGCAGACAGACTTCCTACGGATTCCCAGACAGAGTCTCTTCGTGTAGAGTGGGAGCATCCAGGAGGAAGTGGCAAGGGTAGGCGAGGAAGGCCTCACGGAGGAGGTAACTCTGAGTGCGGAGAGGTGAGGGAGTGCTGGTCAAGGGCTGGGGGTTGCAAGGCCACGGGCTCGCCGTGTCCATCTGCTGAGGCTTCCATAACAAAATACCATGGGCCAGGTGACCGAGATAACGGAGGCCTGCTTTCTCACAGTTCTGGGGGCTGGGAAGTCCAGGATCAAGGTGCTGGCAGGGTTGCTTTCTGTTGAGGTCTCCTCCTTGCTTTGTCCTCACGTGGCCTTCCCTCTGCTAGGTGTGCTGTGAGGAGTGGGGAGGAGGAGGAGGAGGGCGAGGGAGACGGAGAGGGAGAGAGAGCCCTCCGGTGTCGCTTCCTCTCCTTATAAGGACACCAGCCCTTGTAACCTAATTTAACCTTCATTACCTCCTCCTAATCAGCCATACTGGGGGGTGAGGGCTTCAACATACGAATTGGGGGGGACATAATTCAGTCCAGAATGCACACCGACACCCAGGATTCCCTGGCCCCACAGTTCCTCCTGATGCCTCCTCACGGAGGCACCCCACAGTCCCTCTGTTCATGCTTGTTTTAAGAGTCCTTTCGCATGCACCCTGCCTGTGCCCAGAAGTCTTAGCGTGGTGATTCAGTGTTTCCAGTCTGTTCCTTGATGTCTGTTCTAAAGAGCATAAGGCTGACACAGCTCCGACTTACAAAACCCCGGGCTTCAGATGTTTCCACCATCGTCCAGAGCTGGCCATGGTGGGGAAGCTGCAGTTGCCTCCTTCCCCACCCCAAGGAATCTCCCTTTCCAGGGACTCTCTTCTCTGCCTGGCTCCCCAGAGCATTAAGGGCACAGCATAGTTGTACCCACAGTGAAAAAATGTGACTTCTCCCACTTCTCCTGTAACAAGTGACGGCAGAATGCAAAATGGATCATATATGTAAAGGCTCTTTGCAAAGTGCAGCGTGCAGTATTCAGTCCATAAATTATTAGAGCCTTTTATCTTTGCAATCATGTTTTCCGGGCGCGTCATCGGACCCTCTCCCATCCCCTGTGTCACCATAGTTAGGTACCCAAAAGGACCTTCACCGGGTCTTTGAGAATTCCCCGAAGCCACCTTCCCGCTCACACCCACCCTTCTTGCGTGCTTGGGTTATGATGCAGTCATTTTCAATACTAGTCTCTAAATTCCAGCCCTTCTGTGAAGCCTTCCTGGCCCGACGGGGGAGGAGCGAACGACTTCCTTGGGGGGCTTGGGATGTGGGGGCCCCGGGGACAGTCACGCAGCCCGACTCTGGGTCTGAACTCCCTCCATGACTTACCAGCTGTGTGACCTGGAACAGCCCTTTGTTTTTCCTTCGCCGGAAACCGAGGGTGTGGGTCATCTGGCCCCTAACAGCTGCACTGTTGGCCACGGAGTCTTGCTAACTTGACCCCAAGGCCAGCAGAGAGCTACCAGGGACAAGGGTGGCACAATGCAAGAGGCGAGAGAGAGAAATCCTTCTGGTGTGAAGATTTGTGAGGATGACATGAGTTAAGACACAGCTGGGCCCTTAGAACAATGCTTGGCCCGCAGTGAAGGCTCCGTAGGTTTTGTTTCCCCATCCATCAGTAGACATGGCGGTCCACGGCTATGGAGATGTGTGCTCTTAGTGGTCCGACCCATTTCCAGAATGTTGCTGGATTGAATTTAAGTTTGCCCAGCCAACCAATACCCATCATGAATGATCCGAAGGCTCCGTGCTCCGTCCCATTTTCTGTCGGATACCTTTCGTCTGTATTGCAAATAATCTCCGGAGAGCCAGCTCGCTGGCCCCGTGGAAGGCCATGTGCTTGAGGACAGGGCATGACATTTGAATACTCAGTGGTACCTGAACATTTGGAGCATGGGATCGGAGGGGCAAACTGAAAAAGAGCCAGTGACGGGAAGCCTTTCTGGCCCAAAAGGAAACCTTGCCTTTTCCAGACCTGAGGCCAGAAGTGAGCACTTCGGTGCTGAAAGGGGTCCGGATGCACAGCTAGGGGGGATTCTTTCCCAGGGTTGGTGGGAGGAGGAGACTTCTTTCTGTCTGGCGTGGGCTCAGAACGGAGCATGCTGGAGGTTAGGCTTGCACAGGTAGCCAGAGAAACACGCGATGCTTTCTCTTTATTGTGTCTGCTGAGTGGTTCTCTTTCCCAGCCTGTGTTGTGTTATGAAAGAGACAAGTTTAATAAACAGATTCTATTTTTACTCCAAGCCACGGCTTGGAAAAGCATTCCGTCTCCCAACCGGGAACCAGGAGCCCCCTTGGCCCTGCGCGCCTGTTACTCTCTCTGCCACCACTTGGTGGTGACATACCGAAGCTTGCAGGGGTAGGTCTCAAAAGCCCGTCTGCCTGAAGCCCCACCACCTGGCACCAACGGCTGAGACGGTGCTTCAGACTCTCAAGATGCCTCTGCTCTTAGCCTTATGAGATTCATGTTCGGGGACTGCTTGTCCGATGTGTCCCTTTGACCAGGTGAAGAAGCTGCTTGTTCCCGAGTCCCAGTTCTGGTCTGGTTAACTGGCAGCTTCCAGCCCTCGGGAACACATAGGCGTATAAGAAAAACAATCCTGCTTCCCCTTAGTTCAACTAACGCAAGGCTGGAGGATTTCAAACAGAACTTTTCCTTGGAAACAACAGCAAAATATACACAACAGCATAAATAAATGGATAAGCTCACAGGGTTTGGCCGGCTGACCAGGACTTAAGGATGGAACAGCACACGGTGCAGACCGGCCAGCAGGGCTCCCAGACTGTCCAGAGAGCCTCGTTTCTTCTCCCACCTTGGAATCTAAGAACCTTGTAGAGCAGATTGGAACGAGGTTAGCCCAGCCTCGATCCCAGAGGAGATCTTATTTATAATTCGTAACCTCCGTATTCCAAAGAAGATATGGGGTAGTTTACGATAATGTGTGTGTGTGTGTGTGTGTATGTTTAAAACCAAAGCTGCTGAAGAAATTGAAAATGTTTACACGTAGACAAGAGCATAAGTAGAATATATCAAAGCACTAAATTAATACCATGCTTGAACACCAAATTTAGCGCCAAGAAGAGAATCCTGGGAAACCAGCATGCAGAAGGAACCGTCAGGTATTTACACAGTGACAATAACTACCAGAAAAGAAAAGGGACGTCCCTTTTCAAGAGAAGCTAGCCTTGTCCCGGTCCTGAGTATTTATTGGTAATGGCAGCACGTAATTCAACAGTGATTTCACAGAACACCCAGAAACTGTCTCGTTCAGTTGGCGAGCAATGTTTGTTTGTGTTGATAACTACTTTTAGATCCGATGGACGCCTCCTTTCTTCCCAGAATTTGCTCCACAGCTGTGCTGCATCCCCTTCTTGCGGCTGACCTTAGGTCAGGTGGGAAAGCCCCCAAAAGGGGCGTCCCTGTCCCCCCCACAGAGGACACTAGACGGGAATGAGCCTGGCACGGGGGGCGGGGGGGGCAGTCAGCACAGCCCCTGGACCAGTGAGCATTGTGCTCTCTGTACGTGTATGCAGGACATATGGAGGATGATTATGTTATTTACTCATGATAAGGAGAACTCGAGATGCCCTGGATTGAAAAGAATACCTATCAGCCAGAGATCTGGGACTCGTCGAACAGCGGCTCCTTGACGTTCCTTCTCTATTCAATAGCGTGATGTGATTTGAGATTTTTCTCCCTTCGGGAAGGAAGCAAATGCAGTTTTGGGTGCACTCGGAAGTCCTGTGATGATCAATGTATTGTCAGCTTGTTGAAATCGTTTATGTGTGTGGCAGCATGTTTGCGGGACAGCTAAGCAGAGGCCGTAATGGGTCTGTGTTTCTCTCCTCTCTTGCACCCAGGACCTGCTCGATCCATATGGTCCAATATGGTTCAGATGGGGGTGGCATTCACCCTTCCTCCTCCTCTCCCCCGCTTCACAGCTGCTGTTGATCCCCATGCCAGGCAGCAGGGTAGGCATTTCACACAGAATCTGGCCTGGTGGTGAGTCGAAATAGTGTCCAGGCATAGTTCACAAAGACAGGAGGGCAGGGTCCATTTCAAACCGGGAACAGAAAGCCACAGTGACCTGCCCCACCTCCCTTCCCCCTGGGCTCCGGTCTCCAGAGGAGAGCGCTTTCAGCTCCTCCCACCTGTTTCCCCTGGATCGTACTTTCTTACTCCTGAAGAATATGCTTGTACTCATAGCACTCGATCTGATTGCAGTTTGAGATGTTGTCTGCTAACTTCTGCCGTGGAAGATGGACTTAGTTCTTTCACTGGCTGCCCCCCAGCCCCTCACACACACTCCCACTCCTCTCTGCTTCCGACAGAGTTCAATCACAGTTGTTAGGTAGATCACGATTCAGCATTTTCATTTTGACTGTATTGGTGTCTTTAACCGAGCCACGTAGCTTACTATAATTAGATTTCCTTTCTGACACAGGATTTTGGGTTTCCTGGACTTAGTGTCATCCTTTCCCTTTGCTTATCCTAACTCTTGCCCTGACTTGCCACAGAGCTAAGAAATGCCTGTGGATCTGTGAGATGCACATCAGATAATCCATCTTGCCCGTGTTCTGCTTGGGAGTCAGCCCTCCTGGGCCCCAGGCTTCCGTTCCAACCCAGACTTCGAGCTCTCCAGGCCCCCTGCCCCTCCGCTACCGTGGGACTTCTCTTCGATGTCTTCTTGAGACTGTTCATCCCCTCGCTCTCCCGTCAGAGCCCCCTTTCTTGGAACTCGTATCTTCTTCCTTGGTTTACCTCCTCATGTGATGGAGCACAGCCTCTAGCTCTCTGATGGGGACTGCCTGCGAAGCACATTTCTCGAGATATGGCATGTCTGAAAACATCTCTGTTCTGCCTCTCGCAGTTAACGGATCGACTGCATATAGAATTTTCGGTTAAAGATGATTTGTGCTCAGAATGCTAAAGGCATCTTTCATTGTCTTCTAGCTCCCAGCGTTGCTACCGAGAAGTCCAGTGCCATTTTGACTCCTGAGCCTTGTTATATGTCCTGCTTTGCTTTTAAGAGCTTTTCCTTAGCGTGAATATTCTAAATTTCACGCGGAAGGCCTTTGAGTAACGCCAGCCCCCTGTCCTGGTGTTGGAGACTTGGTGGACCCTTCCGGCTGGAATTCGTGGCCTTCATCCTGAACATTTTTTCTTCGTTATAGCTTTGATAAGTACCTCCTCTCCTTTTCCTTTCCTTTCCTTCTGGCACATTCTATGTTCATGGTTGGATATTGGGCCTCCTGGTTTAATTTGTTCATTTCCTTGTTTTCTCTCCTGTTTTTCATTTCTTTGTGTTTTTGTTCCTTTCTGGGACATTTCTTCAGCTGCTTCTTCACATCCGTCCCTTGATTTGCTTTATTGCTGCCGTCTTGTTTTTGTAACTTGTGTTTTCTGATTTTTAAATGTTACTCAGTTCTGGTTTCAGAGACAAAATATTTTAGTAGACATTGTATCTCTCAGGATATTAATTAGTGTTTCTTTGATGGCTCCTTCTGTTGTTTGCTTTATCTTTTCTCTCAATTCTTTTTTCTGGTTTGGGGGGGTGGTTGGCAGGGAGAAGGGGGATGATGGGGGGGTTGTTCTCTTTTTCTCTTCCGTCAAATGTCTAGTGATGCTTGGCTACCCATTACTGTTTAAGAATGAAACACCAAAAAGACACCCAAAAGTTATGTATGCATTGGTGGGGTCTGTTGAGTTGTAGGTTTCCCCCAGAGGATGATCAGACAGGGAAGGACCGAGTCATTTTATTGGGGACCCCAGATGTCCCCTAGCATCTGTAGGTTTTTTCTCTTTGGTAGGGCCTTTCTGCTGAGAGGAGACCTATAGTCTCCTGCCTGGTGAACAGAAGCTTAGCCAGCAGCATCTGGGAGCCCAGTAGGGGGACGGGACAGCCAGCTCTCCGGTCCACATGAAAGCTTATATGTAATTTCCCTATTTTCAACCTCTCACCTAATCTCTTCCTTCTCCTGTGCCTGCTACCCCCGTGTTTACAACTCCTCTGGTCCACTTTCTCCACTGAACCTCTTTCCCGAGGGGATAGTGGGGAGGTAGCTGCCTGGTTGTAGGGGGGTGACAGAAGGGGGTCTGGGGTGTAACTGGGACTCATGTCGTTTGTAACCAGCCCCCCTGTTTCCAGCTCTGCTTTCAGAACTACCTGGTGCATCCCCATCCCTGAGCCTTTCCAGGGACCTGGCGTACCAGTCAACTTCCCACTTCGGATTCCCAGCCCCATCCGTTGTTTATTTCATTTGTGCTCTATCCTTGTCCACTGACTGTCTTCCACCATTTTACTGACATATCTGAGTGGATATCACCTTCTCCCCTGTTCTTTTGGTTTATAGATGAATCCCCTTCTTCCCCCTTTAGGGGGGGATGGGGTGGGCAGTGCAGCCGTGGGTATTCGGTTTTACTGAAGTCAGCACGTTACATACATCATCCTCCCCAATGTCCGTTACATCCCCTCGAGGTAGTAGGTGGTCTTATTCCCATATCTCAGCTAAGGAGTGCAGACCCCGAAAGGTCAAGGCCCTTTGTCAAGGTCACATTGGCTGATCAGGGGCAGAGCTGTGATCCGAGTCCAGGTATGCCTCTGAAATCCACTCTTTTGACTACATCACACTTCTTCTGATGCTCTGGGATTGTTCAGGGATTCCTCTTTACCACACTGAACAGTATTAATCAGGAACACATACCACACACAGTCCCAAGGGGCCAGCCAACAGAGCGTTTTTTTTTTTTCCTTCCCTTTGTTCCCCGAAGCAATTATTTCTTTATTTCATTTCAAGACCCGGCCTCTGCAGCTGCTGCGAACAGCTTAGAGTTGTCTGAAGGCTGAAGACCAGAACCAATACCGTGCACTTACAAGCCATCAAACTTGAAAGATGTGTTGAGGTGAAATATCACTGCAAAGCCTCCCCACCACCACCACCCCCCCTTTTTTAGGTGCCTTTTCTTTCCAAACTGAAAGAGAACCATTTGTACTCGTCATGCGTAAGAATCTTCAGTTCTGGCGGCATTCAAGACGAGATTTTTATTTTTTAATTTTTTTATGTTTTGTAACTGCCCACCCGAATGAAGCAGAGAGTATGGTCGTCCAAAGCCAAAATAATGGTGTGTTGCGCATCGATATTTACAAGTCAGAGATGAGTGCCTGCGTGTGGGCTGAACCGTGTACCCTTCCTTGTCCCTTTTGGAGAAGCAGCCTGCCTGTGCTAGCAGTTAAATAACTTTGTTTTCATACGGAATATTTAAGTTGCAGATGTGAGCCATGTGGGCAGAGGTTTGATCAAGACAGCTGAACTGCCCGGGTACTTTGGGAGTTCAACCGCTTGGTTCGACTTGGTTAGACTGACTTCATGGGGAAGCATTCGAGTGTAGTTGTTCATCCCATTTATGATCTTGCCCTATTTTTTTTTTTTTTAGCCCCTCCAAGTCTGATATTTCCCTTGGCGTTCCCAGAGAGAGAGGTCCACACAGTTACTGGCAAGGGTGCAATGCAGGAATATGGGGTTTCCAGAAGTTCATTACGACTTTTCACAAGTATTGAGTAAAATTAGTCATGTTTGAAGGGAAAATGTGAAGGTATTGTTTGTCTTTAAAGTATTTATTTTTTCCAAGCACGAATGCCCTAGCAACTGTTGGTGAAGACAGGTTTATTTCAAGCAGACTTTGTAGTAAGCGGTGTGTTCGTTTCCTGACCAGGCAGTGGACGTGTGACAGCTTTATTTGTGACTTTCAGGCGTGATAGTCCCAAGCCATGACCCTTCCAAAAGACATTCTGCCTCTTTTCCCCGAGGCGATCGCTGTTTCTGACTACCGGCGGCCGTTGTACCCCTCGGCGTCCTAGACCCGCCCCTGCGCGGGGCCACATAGGCATCTTAGTGTTTGCAGTGCTTTGGCCTTAATCCTGGCCGCTGCTGGAGGCCAGCCTTGGAGAAGTGGCCCAACTAGGTCAGATCAGGAACGACAGGAAGCAGTCCCGAGCCCCGGGCAGACCGAGATGTTCCGGATGCCCAAGCTTTGTATCAGTACTTCAGACCTTTCCGGGGCTTCCTCCTGATTCTGGTTGTTTGTGTCCAGCGCTCAAGTCTGCAGCACAAGGGCAGTGTTTCTGTCAACCAGATGTTGCCTGAGGTGCTCCTTGAAAATGCAGATTGCCGAGCCCCAACCCAGGCTTAATGAACCTGCCGCTCCAGGATGTGGGGCCCGGGAATCAGCTTTTCCCTCCCAGCACCATCACCCCCCTCCTCCACCCCCAGGCCCACCCCCATGATTCTTAGGCAGATCATATTATCCAGGGACATATTTTCCAAATTTCCTTAATGATAAGAATCACGTGATAGTCTTTCTAAAAATACAAATTCCTGAGCCCCATCCCAGATCCACTGGCTCAGGATCTCCAGCGGGGTGGGCCCAGGAAGCAGGGAGAAGGGAACCTAGCATTCCAGAAGACTCAAGATCCTGAGGCCAAGGTTGCCTGCTGGAAACCATCAGAGGAAAGAAACCAAGCCCCACCCATGACTTTGAAAGACTTTGCATCTGGTAATTAAAAGACAGCTAGAGACGTAGAAACTAGCAAGACTGAGGGCAAGTCAAACCAGAAAGTTCCTTCAGTTACTTTTCCCCATTTACCTGTTACATTTCTGAGAATCTTTTTTTTTTTTTTAAGATTTATTGAAAGAGACAGAGAGAGAGAAAGAGTGAGCAGGGGGAGGAGCAGAGGGAGAGAGAGAGAATCCCAAGCAGACTCCCTGCTGAGCTCAGAGTCTGATGCGGCTGGATCTCATGACCCTGACATCATGACCCGAGCCAAAATCAACAGTCGGACCCTTAACCGACTGAGCCACGCAGGTGCCCCACATTTCTGAGAATCTTTGAAGCTTCCTAATTCTGCCAAGCTGAAGTCAAGATATAAAGTCAGTCTTTATTTTCTGCTGGTGAAAAGAAAGATCTGGGGGCAACTTTAAATTTATTTTCTTTTCACTAATTATGTCAAAAAGTACATTTCACTTGCCTTGACTTCTCAAAAGCAAGGTAGCTTTTTACGCTTTTAAAGAAAAAATTTTTAAACACCTGCCACTTCTCGTATCTTCTGAAGTTCTCAACTTTGCCTATATGGAAACTGTGAGCCTCGAAGGTCCGAAAAAGCATGTATTGTTTATCTCTGTCTCCCCTGGGTGCAGTTTGACGCCTAGCATGTGAAATGAACGCTTCATGGATTCAGAGGAATATATTTTATTTTCCTTGCTAGGTTTATTTTCTTTAGCTGGAGACTATCAGTGTGAAATTTAAGCTTTTTTTTTTTTTTTCGTGAGGCCTCTCACATGTGCTTGATTATTGGTTTATTAATTTGAAGATTTATGGAGGAGCAAAATGTTGACTTTTTTTCTTCCAAAAAAAAAAAAAAGTCAAACCGAGAGACAAAACATACAGTTGTACATACCTGCAAAGAGATGTCCAGATCCCCTATATCCTGCTGAGGAAATTTCATTGCATAAATGGGTTACTATTAGTTGATGGAAAAATTAAGTTAACTGGAATCCCCAGTTCGCCAATCGTGCCAGCTAACTGAGGTATTAGCGTCCTGTTTAAACTCTCAGAGCTATTAAATTAAATGGTCATGACACGAAACCTCAGAAAAGTCTTATTGTTGTCTAGAAAGATTGTGTACAGGTGTGGCTGGTCTGCGTTAGAATAAAAAAGGCTTCAGTATTCTCAGAAATCATTTCCTCTCCTGAGGAAATGCACCATAGTAAAATAGTCTTTTCCAGTAGAGTAATTGCTGGTTTTCGGCTTCAAAAGAAAATCCTTGAATATTATTCAGGTTACTGTTTCCACCAGGCTCCGCTGAATGGATAGCCATTTTGCGTTTGATTAATAAAATTATTCCAGAAAATTAAAGGAACTCTGGTTTAATCCTTACAGACAGAAGTTGTTGGAAACATTTAGCTGCTCAAGAAAATTGTTTTTAATTTTAAAAGACGCGTGCGGTTTAAGCTTATAGAATGAAGGGGATCCTTCGGTGCGTTGCAAAAGCTCTGCGTTGCAAGTTGGCATGCTGAGTACTTTCCTTGAGTTTATATTTTCACCCCATGAAATGAAAACCTGGAGAATTTTATTGCAAACGCAGAAGGTTAAATA